AAAACTATGTAACTTTTAGAGACACACGCAATCATAAAATCAGAAATGCCTCAGACCTAGTTATGCCAACATGTAGTCAGTGGTTTTCAATGGTTATGGGAGGTCAGGCATTAGACTATTCAACCATTTGCCTGAAACTATTAGGCCATTTACCTGTTAATGTAATTTATAAATGGCTAGTGAAAAATCCACTAAATGATGCAAAATTTTAATCTTGTTGTTGATATTATACAAGGTGATTCGCTACTCGTACGACGAAGTTCATCAGGTGGTTCTACACCTCAAATGCAATAAAACAGTTCGTATGAACCATAGTCCGATTCTCAACCCTTACTAAATGTCATAAATCTATTCGTAGCTCTTAAACTCTTTTTTTTGGGGGGGGGGAATCCAAAAGAAGCATTGAAAAGAGTGTTAAATTCCCTTTGAAAAAGCACTCTTCTAGAACTTTTAATTTAATTTTTGATTAAAAAACGAACACTAAATCTTTCAAAAACTGCTAAATTTTAAATTTTTGCTACCTCATTTGAAAACTTCACGGTAGAGCACAATTAATAACAACTTCTTCGTTTCTACAAGCTTTCCAGTGGTATACCCCTTTTCTTTACTTATATCGAACCAAAATGCAGAAATTTTATATTAAATGGAATAAAATGGGAACAGGGTTAACATAGTAAATCAACTTTTTGTTCTGGGAAAAATGTATTGACCAACTTTAACATAATAAAAAAACTAAAAAGAAAGAAATATGAAACAAAAGACTTAACTTAGCGAAAAACCAAAGCAGAAAAATTGTCCAAAATTCTACACTAAATGGAGAAAAGAACAATACAGAAGTATTGCAAGAAAAACCGGTCTCTAACCTAATAAAAAAATGACAAAAAAACCTAATTTGCTTCTTCAATTAAAACTTCACATCCACTGTTTGTTTATTATAATATATTGTTTACATATTATTTTTTCATGTATTTTGTTTCATTTTTACGTTAATTTTTTTTGTACTTTTTATTAGTTTAAAGTTGGGTTCTACAACTTGACTATTCTTGGTTTTTTTTTCTTTTAATGTAGATATTTTGTCAAACTTTTCTGCTTTGGTTGTTTCCTATGTTTATTGTCTCTTTTGTATGTTTTGTTACATTTTCTTACTTTTTGTTATTTTTATTAATTTGTTGATATTCGGAAATAAATTCTGTCGAGGATAAAAAGTTGAATTACTATATTAACATCACTCCCTCTTTTACACAGTCACCACTTTCTTCCCATTTAGCATAAAATTTCTACATAATTAAAGAAAAGGGTACACCTATAGAAAGCTTATTAAACAAAGATGTTGTGATGAAATATGCCAAGCTCTACCATGAATTTTTCCAATGAGGTTGCAAATTTAGTATTTTTGTACAAATTTTAAACGTAACAGTTTTTTAAAAGATTTAGTGGTTTTTTTTTTTTTTTACGAAAACTTATATTGTAAGTTCTAGAAGGGCGACTTCTTAAAGGAAATTTAACGCTCTTATGCTTTTACTTTGGATTTTATCAAAAATGTATAGTTCAAGAAGTACGAATAAATTTATGACGAAGCCCATAAAGTATTGAATATCTCCGAAAGGGTCGAACTTCGGATCATGGCTCATACGAACTTTTTTTGTTGCATTCGGGGTGTAGAACCATTTGAGCTTAGTCGTACGAGTAGCGAATCAAACTTTATGTTCGAGTGTTTTCGTTTTATGTATATGTTTACGCGAAACGTGTTGTGAAGTGCTAGTTAATTGAAATAGTTGGGAAAAACATAAAATGTTGAATATCAGCGAAAAGTTTCGACATCGGACCATGGTTCATAGGAACCTTTTGTTGCAAGGGGTAGAAACACCTGACGTACGAATAGTGAACCACCCTGTATATTCGAAAAAAACATAAAATGTTGAATATCTGCGAAAGGGTTGAGAAACGAACCATGGTTCAAACGAACTTTCTTTTGACGCATTTGACCACCTGGGGAACTTTGTACCGAATCACCCTGAACACTTCAACATTCCATTAATTGACGTGCGTGCTCCTTTCATTCAAACATGTAAAATTTATGGCAAAAGACGTTTGATTTGATTCGTTTGGTGTAATTTATAGTTTCAATAGTTTTAATCGATCTATATGTTAAAACTCGATGCTGTTGTGTCGAAAGAAGCAAAGAAAAAAAAAGAGACTTAGTGTATGACTGTTTACATTGATTTGATTCACATTTAGGTCTAATTTGTGTACAGTTTCACAGGAAGTTGATGCGCTAATTCCGTTTTGATGACGATACCATCTTCAAACTAATTTAACCAGGCCAAATCATCTTTCTAAACTAAAACCCCTATTTGTTTAATTTAAGCGATATCGTAATTTTTACGAAAATAAACCAGGACAATTTATAATGGAGAAAAAATTAATTTAATATTTTTGATCGTTCTATATCAGGAAATTGACCAATTAGTCGATAAAATATATTCGAGTGTTTGCGATAACGCAAGCAAACACTGATTTCATCGTTAAAATAATAACAATTTTAAAACGAGATTGCTTCAAGAAAAAGAGAGAAAAATAACTTTACATCATTATAGTTCTGTTCGTAATAAAAAAAAACTTGTATAAATAAATAATATTGAATGCAGGTCAAATTAAAAATTAATCATGTATATAATTAGAACTGATGTAAATAAATTAACGCATCACTGCATTTCGAATTTCATGAAATGAGACATTAATAAATTTCAATTGAAGGTCGATCGTTTCGAAAAGTTTTGTTATTTCATCGGTGTTCGTCCTTTACACTTCTTTCTCTTTATGGAATAAAAAATAAAAACAAATGTACATAAAATTTTTTTATGTGTACCCTGCCCTTTTACTTCGACCCACCAATTATCAATAACAATGATGGGCATGATCACGATTTTTAAAATTACACCAAGGAAATCCCGTGCTATTTTAAAACTTCAAAGGGCGATTTTTTTTTAAACAAGGAAACACGAAATTCTGGCGAATTGAATGTTTTTTTTATGCGTGGATTGATAAAACTATGCCAGTAGGACTTCAGTAATGTTCGGACCGTTTGACAACACGGCGGTTGTATTTTTAATTTCGACCATTTAGAAATAAACAAGACTCGGAGTCGAATTTCTCTTAAATTACTGGTGGGATTTATTGGATCTAGCCCGGTGACGGAAGGGAAAAGTTTTTTTCCCCAGCGACCTGGATGGAAGCGAAGGGAAAAATTGATCGCCTCCAGATCTTTATATTCTCTCCGATCGACTGTTTTCCCGTCGGGGTTTTTTTTTCCGGGTTTTCCTCGTATTGTCTTCTTCCGTTATCACGTCCGCTCGCTTTGGTTATTTTCGTGTAAAGTATGAATTGTTATCGAAGTGAAAATTTTCATGTAAAGTGTGAATTGTTATCAATGTGAAAAATTTCGACCGGCAGACGGAGTTTTGGGGGCGAGGGAAGAAAATCGTGCCACTCCTTCTTTTTATCGTCGCGCCTCCAGAAATAAACAAACCGGCTTCGCCCATTTCCAGGGCTCCGGGGCGGCGGATTCCTCCGTGTAAACCGTTAAAAGTGGGACAAGGGCTCTGCCTTCGGGTCGACCCCCGGAGGCGGAAAAATCGTCCAGAAACCACTCACCTTGAGTACTCGAAATGTCGGCCCTCGTCCGTTAAATCACAAGCACACACTTTATTCCGTTTCCGCCGGCGGCCGGGCAAGCGAGAAACATCTGAAGTCGAGAAATTCCTTTCGGGGGGGAAAACGAGCCAGGCCCGAATAGAGTCGACTGAGCGAGGAGACGGTCTGCCGCGACGGGGGAGGGGCGCCCGACTGAAAAGTAGTCCCGACCTCAAAAATCCCGTTTCGACCCTTTTACTAGTCGGAAAATGGGAAAAAACCGAGTTTCCCTTTGCCGCGGGTGAAACGCGAGACGAGCCCTTTGCCCGCCCTCGGATATCCCTTTGGTCGAGGCCCTTTGCCGTTCGCCTCGCGGAGGAATACAAAACCGGGTGATGTCACTTCTGAAAGGGAAGAAAACACTCTTTGTGGGCGTTTCCTACTCCCAGTTAAAAACTCAAACAATTTTCGTTTTTCCAATTTTCTTTTTATTTTACTTCTGTAGAATCGACAAAAAATACTACAAATTAAAAAAAAAAAACAATTAAACCAACATCGAGAATATTTCTTCTGCAAAATTTTTCTACCCTTTCAAAAATAAAAATCAATTTTGCACTTTTGATATATCTCCATTTTAATTTTAGAAGACATGAAATGCTTACTCTTTAGGGTGAAGTTAGTTTAAATTAGGAAAAACCGGCTAAAAAATTTACCTTTTATTAAAAATATATTCATAATAAAATTTCGTGTTTTCATTTAAAAAATATACTACTTCTTTGAACATTGCTAATTTGAATAATTTACAATAAAAAGTGTTTGTTTTAGCAAAATGTCTTATTTTAAAAGTGCACTTTAAAAAATAAAGGCCATTTCACTCTGCAGATTACTTACAAATGTAAATTGCCCAGACTATTAATCTTTTTTTTGCACCATAAAAAGTCTCCAGACGCAACAAAACTGTGCCACACTCTTAAACTTAAAGCTAGAGACGTAAACGATTGTGAAATATGATCAAGTTTGATATTTCATATTTCATCTTCGTTTAAATATTTCTCCTGCAAAATGTTTTCCCCCTTCAAAAATAAAAATCAACTTTGCACTTGCTAAATATCTCCATTTTAATTTTACAAGACATGACACTGCTTACTCTTTAGGGTGAAGTCAGTATAAAAGGATTCTATTTATTCTCTTTATTTAAAATGTTAATCAAAAATATGATTGTTTAAAAAAATTTGAAGCCCATTCTTGCACCAGACCACCCATGGTACCAGACGGATTGCAGGCTTGGTAGAAAATAGCAATATTTCGATTTGAGAATAAATATTTTTATTTGACAATTCTTATAAACATTTATTATATAACTACATTTAAATTACAATTAGAATAACAATGGAATTTTGAATACATGTATATTATAGTTATAATCATATCAATTGAAATTGATTATACTAAGGTAAGACATGTTCAATAAATTATTGATTTTATTATTTTTCCTATAAATGATTTATACAGTACAAAACAATGTTAACAGTAAAGATAGGAATGAAATATGTTATATTAAATTCTTCAATATTTAAGAATGTTTTGATTTTAAGCCATAGCTTGTAAAGTGTCCGTCATTTTGTCCTGGCAGGAATAATGAACAATTTGACCATTGGGGTATCTCACGAATGCACTGAAAATACATACAAAGGAAAACAATTAGGGAATAAAAAGTTGATTATTAGATGTCCTGTATATTACAAGGCTTAAACTGATTGTATATACTTGTTAGATATGCCTACATTTTTGTAAATTACATATTATTTTGTATTTGAGACTGATGTAAAAATTTCAGGAAGAAATATTCTACAAATACCGATAAGCAAAGAAGTATGAATGAATTTTTTTTACATATAATTTTTACCTAAATTACCCAGTGTACTTAAAACTGTTAATTTCAAATATATAATGGAAAAACCACCTGACTCATAACGATAAAAATAATTCTGCCAAATGTATACAAATAACTGTGACAGGTTAAGAAAGATGTCTGTCCCAAAAGGCCAAATTGACAAAACTATGGTCGTAAGAAAACGGATGACCAGACTTGCATGTTTGTGTTGATGTATACAGGATGGTCAGCTCGTGTTAATTTTTTGTTTGTTTTTGTTTCAGCGACAATTCATCTTAAGTGGAGTAGAATGCTGAAAACCTCTTGGTTTTATCTCAATCTGTTCAAAATTACAATTTTGTTAGTGTTTATTTAAGAAAAATTTCTTTCATAAAACCTGAATTTCCTCCACTCTAACATAACTTTTCCCAACTTTTGGCCCCACTTTTCGTTTTAGTGCCAAATTTCATTTTTTGCCCGTTTGCTTACAAAATAACTACTCAAACGCCATGAAATTTATGAAATGGTAATTTCGGATCAACTTCTTTAAACTTTAAGCTCCCTTTACATTTTGAAAAATACCAAACCAGCTAAAAAATTCAATATTTTTTGAGGTTCCGAACGGTCTATTCAAAATCTTGATTATTTTGATTCTTTGTTGGGAAATTTCAGTTGAAGTTGGGAAAACGTGGAACCTGGGAATTAAATGCATGGCCCACGTTTTTCTAACTTCCAACTGAAAGTGTCTTTAAAAATATCAAAATAATCGAGGTTTCAAGTAGACTGTTGGAAAACTCATAAAATGTTGAAATTTTTAAAAATGTAATATTTAGGAGATATAGTTTAAAGAAGTTGCTCCAAAATTATCATTTCGCAAATTTCATGACGTTTGTAGTTTTTTCGTAAACAGACCAGCTAAATTTAGAACAAAATTGAGCTAATTTAAAATGAAATTCGATGCTAAATCTAAAAATGGGTCGAAAGTTGGGAAAAGTCAAATTAGAATGGAGAAATTTCAGGTTTTATGTAAATAAATGGGGTTTTCTTAAATAAACACTAAAAAATCGCAACTTTTGAACGGACTGCAATAGAACCATGAAGATTACGGCATGATACTTTGTTAGATGTACAGTCACCGGAAAAAAACAAAAAAAAAGCACGATGAGCAGACCACCCTGCTGTCTATGTATTTATGCTTTAATCTGTAATTGACAACTTGAGGGTGCAAATGAGATACTAGTATTTTAGGAAGTCAACATGGTTTTTATATAAAAAGTAAGCAACAGATCAAGGTAACATTAATACTATAAGATTTTTAAATATTATAACGAACCAAATTTGAAATTTATATATAATTTTTGTATCTTCACTAATCTGACAATAAAGGTTATTATTATTCAATAGTAATAATTAAGTATCAAATAGGACATATTAAAATACTGAACAGCTAAGAATTGATTGGATAAATTGCACTTGATTAATTATAAGTACCTTTGATTTCCAAAACGTTTTTTGCACACTGGGCACACCATGACATCTGTGACAACAATTCTTTGGGACTCATACTCTAGTTTTTCTTTCCTAATCTGAAAATTAAAAATTGACTTGTTAATAACGTAAATGTTACAAAGTTTGTCATTTTCATTACCTGAAGCCTGAAAGCATTTAATAAGCCTCGAAGCTGCTGAGCATTACTCCTTTTTTTAATGATGTCACTCATACTCGACATTAAGAATTTTTTAAGCTTGCTCAGAGGAAGGTCATCTGGCAGGTGGTGGATTGCTTCGGACGGGGCCACTTCGGTCGGGTGAGCCTCAAGGAGCGTGAGCGCAAAATCAAGGTTGTCTGATACATCACTGCTCTTAATGGAGGATGGGTCGATCCCCGGTATCGAGTCAGGTGGATGTAAAAGCAGTTTCAAAACTTCAATGTAAACCTAGAATAATTCATGCATGTTAACACAATTTGTAGAACGATAATGCTTGCATTTATACTTTTTCATATCCTGGTCGCTGTTCGCTGTAGACTTTTTCACAATATTGAAGGGCTCTTTTATAATCACCTATGACAAGAATGTATATCCCAAGTGCAATATCGTGTTTGTTCATTTTTCCATTTAATAAAGCCCTCTCCTCGAACATTCCTATAAGTAATGATTCATTCAAATTTCAACTAACTGATATCAATCATTTTTCTCTGTCTAAACATTACAATCAGTGTGATTATAAAAATAAATCAAATAAAATAGTGCTTTCATCTTTCTAAATGTTTATCAAAATTGGTTCCCATTTTCTTTTCTCTTTTTATTTTTATGCTTGCTGTTTTTTTTTAAATTATTTATTATTCAAAATTATTTTGTAAACATAATGCCTAATTTTATGCTCAATCCTTCAACATTAATTTAATGAAAAAGTACTGTAATATAATTAGAGGTGAAATTTAAGTCGTTTAAGTCTGCAAATATGAAGAAGACAATTTACTCAATGCTCACAGTTATATGTTATAGTTCTCAGGTCTGGGGTGGTGAAGCTTACGAACAGGTTGAAAATTGGAACTTTCAAATCGGAATATAAAGAAATTATTTTTAAACTTCAGGGGGAGTGAATTAATCTTAATTACAAACCTTGGGTTACAAACATAATATCTAAATTTTCTTTATGCAATTTAAATAAAGTGAAAAACAGCTTTTACACTCTGACAGAATGCTCCATACTGAAGCATGAAATATTGTGTTTCCTTAAAACAAGTTTATCTTTCAGTTGATAATGTTATTTTATTATTTAATAGTAGTAATTAGAAGGATTTAGTTCTGTTTATATTTTATTTTAACCATTAAAATTCTTACCCTCATATTTATTTTATGTTAAAAAAATCCTTCATTTTACTAAAACTCTGACAGAATAAAAGTTTAGCTTATGCAAAATATGTTAATTGGACTAAAAGAGGATTTGCCATTATTAAAAATACAATAAAATTTTATTATTCTTACCGTTTGTCGGAAACATAAGAAGCACACTGGATGGCTCATAATGCTGGGAAAATTCCATAAATTTTATTAATTTCTGTTTGTAGGATTTGACAAGAGGATCACTTTCGCCAAGGGTCATTATACGCTCTCGGTACTGGTGAATAAGAGCGTTGTGAAATATATGGAGTGTTTCTTTCCAAGTGTAAATCGCATGTTCCTAAATTTTTATAAAGTGATAAGTATGATTTCAACTTTAAAAAGGGTTCTATGCAAGAAACTGACAATATACGATATGATGAGGTTATGTTTACTCGTCTTCAATAAATAATCCAGAACTTTTGGCCTTGGAAGTGCTTCAACCTCAGGGGTGTCTTCAGTAAATATCTTGAGACCTTCTTCTGGATTAACCTCCAACACCCAGCTTGCAAACTCAAAAATTAGCTCTATATGGTCCTTACCTAAAAAAACGCACAAATTAAGAATGGAAGTTTGCAATAGATTTTACAGCTGACCTAAATTTTGAAGGTATGTGACAGTCGGCTCCAAACCTCTCAGAGGTGAATCCTCGATGTCGGCCTGTGTTTTCAAAAGTTGTAAGGCCTTTTCATGAAGACCTTTTGTTTTATAGAGAATCTCAAGTTCACGGTATTTCTCGTGCTTCTTTAACACCCTCTCAGCCTCTTCTAAATTGCAATAATTTCGCCTAAGGAGTGGTGCAACAATTGCATCTTGAGTCTGAAACACACATATGATAAAAACTAAATTTATGTATTTTTATTTATTTAAAAAAAAAAAACTTACCTGTAAGTAACACTTTAACAATGTCGTATCGATGATTTGCATCAGGCTTTGGTGTTGATCAGGGTTTCCTGTCTCTTTTTTTCCTCTAACCTGCAATCAAGCATTATAAAATTAATTTTAGCAAGCGAAAAATATGTTCAGAGATATAGCAATTACAGCAGTTAAGTATTCAGTCAGTGCGTAGTAAATCTGTGGATCTCTCTCTGGTTGTTCTTCAGAGGGTGAGTCTCCAGTCTGCACCAGTTCAGGAAATAATTTAATGACTTCATAGGGATCTAAAAACAAAATACATAATTTAATTATGCAACTGAATAATTTGCATAGATCGAGTATCAAGTACCTACCTGTTTCTAATTTTAAAAATTCATCCATTGATTTTTTGTATTTTTTGTTATGAAACAAATCTTTGGCATAAAGTGACCTTATTGAGCGTATATTTTCTTCTTTTTCAGTTTTTGTATCATTTGTAATATTCTGAAAATATGTCAAGCATATTGTTTATCAAGTTCTTTAAATTAAAAAAAAAAAAAAAGTGAAAGTAAAGTAATTCTAGTCATTCAGGAGGGCTTAACATCCAACTACCATTGAGTGTCACAGATAATGGTCAAACCACTTTACAATACTTTCTCCATATTATCACAATTAAAAATCCATGGGCTTTGCTGGGATTTGAACCCAGGCAAATATGAGTCAAACACCCTAACTTCCACCATGGTCCCCTTAACCATAATGGATAAATCATTGGCATACAAAGAATTTGTACACCTATTGACTATAATCAAGAGATATTAAACCGAAATTTATATCTAGTGATAAAAACTATAAATGTCGTTCCTTCTAGAATTGCAGTACTCACAGCTAACTTGAGGGCGAGTTCAAATTTTTTGTTATTGAGCAAGAGCTTGATCTGCTTGTGGTAAGGCTCTGCCTGGAGTATCCATATTTGATCGTTGCAAGCAAGGTAGACGATGCCAGGGCTGGCTGTGCAGATCAGCTTGGAACTTATATCAAGTGGTTTGATTTCAACGTAGTCATCTATGTTCCAACATCGTATTTCAACATGGTTTGGTAGCACACCTATCATGTACGGCTCATCATAACCTGGGTATTAGATAAATTAATAAAAAAGGTCCTAGCCAATTTAACAATGATGACACATACCGACATTCAAGGGTATATCAGACCAGCGGACTGCAGTGCTCATAATTTCATCATTAGTGCTACTCACGAAAGCACTTTTCATTTCAATTCCTAGGGAAAAGAAATCTTCGTCGTTGTGTCTTATTTTTGTTATGAGAGGTTCTGACTGTTTTCCTGTCATACTGCATGATTCTTTTATCGTGTCTGGCAGCTTAGAAATCAGAAATAAAAAAATTATGGAATTTTTAAATTGTGCACATTTAAACTACTCACTTTAATAAATGAATAGCCTGCTTTGGTTCCTATACAAATTCGCTCTTTCGTCCAAGCAAGTGCTCTTGGCACTTCATTTAAAACAAAATCTGAAGTTAGATCCATAAACTCTCTGTTTTTCCAATAATAAAATTGCAGTTTTCTTTTTACTACAACACAAAGTCTTACTGTCACTGACTTTTCTCCAGTTAACGACAGATTCCGCTGAAACAAAATAAACTTTTAACCCAAGCGATGTTTACGTTTTTAATTATTACCTGTATATCTAGAGCAAAAAGTGTAGCACATTTGGTTTTATTGAGTGTTTTGATGGGAGCAAAGTCAGTTGCGCTCAGGTCGTGTATACTGACAATATTGTCAGAAAGTTTTATCACAATGCCAAACTCCCCGACCGCAGCAATTTGAGATATTGGTTTTTTACTGAATGTCTTACAGTAACGGATGAGCTCTCCTTTTGGATTTAAGCCATGAGTAATGGTGTAGAACAAGAGATGCCCTTGCTTTGTCCCAATAAGTAATTTGTCATCTGTAAATGAATTATTTTAATCTGATTTTACTATATTAATCAGATATTAATTATTCATTAATTTTATTTGATTGGCTATATTACAGTGACCAAATTTATATCATTATACCAATCACAGAAAACACAGACTTTTCTTGCAAAGAATTTTCATTATTTTAATGATTTAATTGTTCAGTAAATAGCTTACAACCTAATGCTATTTATTTCTAACTTTAAAAAAATTGACGATAAAAAAAAAAAAATAAAAAAATAAAAAAAAAATTAAAAAAAAAAAAAGCTTAGTTATTCAGATATCATGAGATGTGGTCGGGTGTGATGTAGGTTTCAGAAAAATTTTCTTTATCGTGCCAACGTTTCAATCTTTTATTGAGATCATCTTCAGGGCTCAAAGTGTTTGTCTTCTGTGTAAATGTGCCATCCTTGCGTGTCGTGTTGAGAGTGCCCGACCGCATCTCACGATATCTGAATAACTATCGATTAACGGTCACTAATCTCTACACAAATAAAATATGCATTTACATATTTAGTTTTCATGTTCTTTCTGCCAGAATGTGGCACTTTTAAAATAAATTGTAGTATATTTTCATATTGAATATATGAACTCAATGTTAAAATATTTATTTATACATTATCCAAAGTACCTAAACTTATCTAGGCAACAAAAACAAAACTGCTGAAGTATTTGGTCCTAAAATGAAATATTCAGAACCCATGGGTATACTGATGTATACTTTTTGTAATTGACAGACACACTCAATTCAATTTGTACAGAGAATATCAAATGAGGCAGAGCAATAATCTCAGATAGCCAGACTGCCATCAGAGCACTGAATTTAATTTGATTCCAGGATGCAATAGTTGTTGAAATAGTAGATGAATATTCTTGCAAGGAAAGGGGTGCCACTCTGCTGATAGGAATGTTTTGTTGGATAGAGACAGAAGATATTCTACCTACTTAACAGAAGGTAGAACTAGGTAATATACATCTCTTGCCAGGCACAGGCAAATCAGGAATTTTTTTTAAAAATATTTAAAAAGACTATAATTTTACAATGTATAAGAGGATCCAGGAAGAAACTGGGTTAATTGTACCAGGTTGTTTGCTAAGCCACTGTTCAACAAGTTCATAAGAAAAAGAACAGCGCCAAGGAACGCCATAGGTGGAGATTTTGCAAAGAATTAGAAGAAACAGGGACACTATTAACTTGCCACCATGGAAATCTTTCTGAATCTACCACAACTACATACCTTTATCCAGGGAGAGGCCAGGGCCACAATTCATATTCCAATGTGAGGACAGATTCCAATAGCCTACTCATATAACAAGGAGCTTCAGGTAGAGAGGGTCCTGTGGATACTTGTTGTCACCATTGCTAATGACAACCATACTGATATACAGATGGCTACCAAACTGAGTAAGAGTCAGGAGCTGGTATATATGGCAATAAACTAAGGACTAGAATTCATATAAGCCTTGAGCTATATTGAACCCTGTTTAGATTAAACATAATTGCTAACAGAAAAACAGTCATCTACTCAGACAGCCAGGCAACACTGAGGGCAATTACCGTTAAATCCAGAGTTTGTTTGGGATTATATCAAGGCCCTGTTAGATGTAGGGAAAACAACAAAATTATCTACTCAATGAATCAGCCTTCTCAGTTTAAATATTTTTCTTTTCATTAGGTAGATTTGGCCTCATCCCCAATCTACCTAATTAAAAGAAAAATAATAAAATTATCCTTTTCTGGGTATCAGGGCATCAGCACAGAGGGGCAATGAAAAGGACGATAAATTCCCAAGGAAATTTGTATGCAAAGAAGGTTGGGAAGAAAAATTGTTGTCACGAGTGGGTCTCGAACAACAACCAGCTTTATACTCCGGTGCTCTACTACTTGAGCCACCAATGCCTCCCCTCAAATGACTATTATTTAAATTTTCCCCTTTATCGCCAGTTTTCAATTTTTTTTTTAATTTTCCTAACCTTCTTCGCATAAAAACTGGAAAAAATAAAAACTGATAACTAATGAAATGGCCAAGGAACGTTTGATGATTGGCTCATAAACTCTTTTGTGGCATACCAAGCTGTCAAAAAGTGAATCCATCAGACAATAAATTAAAAATAAATCTTCCATTTAATTGGAATGTTGCTCAGGACAGAGCTATGTGAAAAAGTTCATCATAGTTGCTAAATTAAGGACAGGTTAGGACTAGAATAATAGGACTCCTAACTACACATTACAGACTCTGGAAGCATACACACTGATTTGGAATGGCATAAACAAGACTGCAGAGATTTTCAGGTAGGAAAAAAATAATTACCAAGGCTTATGTAGAATAAGATTTTTACTTCTGGGAAAGGAAAAGCTTGGAGGATGCACTGGGAGTCCTTAACAAAACAATGGAATGCACCAATACTGATTGCAGTATGCAGGTTGTAAAGAGGTCAACTCTACTCTAATCTTTATCCATATGTGTATTTAGTAGACATAAGTGACCGTATTTATTATTTTAATTAATTATACTTTTTATCTAAAGTCTTGGTAGAATTTGAATAATGAGGTTGTTGATTCGTTGGCAAAGGAAGCAACTTCAGCTGAGGAAGTACAGAAAGTCAAATTATCGAAATCTCATATAAAGAGGGGTAATAACTACAAAAATTGGCACAAGTAATGGGAAAAGTGGTACGATAGTGATAAGGCAATTTCTTTTTTTTTGTCTTTGATTCCCAAACCCTGTCACTTCCCTGGATTTTCCCAATTCTCAAGAGGAAGGAAGGCTTTTTTCTTTGAATTAGAATTAGGTCCAATCACTGCATATGTGAAGCTTGTATGATTAGAATTTGTTTAAGACCCTCCTCAAATTGTGAAACATGTGATGTACCCGAGACAATGCAATATGTGTAAGGTAATATGTTTAACTGTACAGGGTATGATGTGAGAAATTGTATGTTTGTACGAATCTTAAGTTGAAAAGTGATAGAGAAGCTCTTCAATTTTAATAGCCTTATAGGTTCAGAAAATGACATGGTTTTTAGAATACTGTTCGAATTTTTAAATGAAACCAAACTGAAAACTTAAGTACCAAATAATTGGTATTAAGGTATGGTTAGGATGCCATCTGTAATGGCAGATTTCCTTTGGAAGAAGCAAAAAAAAAAAAAATTGATATTAAGACATGAGGAGACTGGATCGTTCTGGGGTGCTATGTTTGCTGGCTTGGGTGGTCTCTGGGAGGTGCTCCACATGCAAATGGTCACCGGAGAGGATGTGAACTTTTTCCAAGGGCATCTGTTGCCATGTAAGGTTTTTATCCGCATCCTCCTAATGCTTCCGAAATTAGGAATATATCCGAAAAAGAAGTGGGTGTATGGGTAGTGCCCTTTGGGGATGACCTTGGTCAGTCGGCACAGGTCCTCACCAACAAAATGATATCAACTGAATGCCGTAAGGCAAACCAATAGCAAAAAAAATACTACATAAAAAGTATAATTAATTTTCTAATCTTAATCTTACCAACAGACTGCGAAACTAATCAACAGAGCAATGTTTTGAGACTGTGTGGGCTAGCGATAAAATTCATAAATTTAAATTAATTTGAGAATATAAATTCAAAATGGGGGATATTATAACTCTTGGCGTGTGCAGTACACCACTTATGTTCTACGTTCTCTTTATGAAAGGAAAAATTAAAATGTCCCAGTTGTGCTCACATAAATTTTTTAAGCAAATATAACAATTGAAAAAAATGCACAGTATTTATTGCTAAATCTAGATGATTAAAAGAAATATGAAAATATATTAAATAATTTTTATTTAAAAAAAAGTTTGGTCTGGGATCATGCAACTTGTCTTTGTTTACCGAACGCATCCATGCACTCGATTTGAGCGGTGATCTTGGGCAGAGGATAGGCGACGTAAGCCGTGTGTGCCTCATTCTCAGCCATTCTTTTCGGAAAACTGCACAGCAGCCAGCAGAGAAGTTGACAGCTGATAACAGTGATATAAATAAAAATACAACAAAACTCCTAAGGTGATAACTCAACCTCTCGACTGCTTCCAGGAAATACTTTCACAGCAATCAGCCAGGTTTGATCAAATTTCCCTTATCGGCAGTTGATGTTTTGGATTTCCATTATAAAGGAAAATTCTTAATATGTAACGTAATATTTAATTAATTAACTGTAGAAGTGCATAACGAAAAGGAGAAGCAACCCTACTGAATATTATAAGATGGCTATACACGGCAGTATTTAAGACACAAAATAAATGGATCACTGATCTGGTAGACCAAAGTTCAACAAAAAATAGTTACCAAACAAACAAAAACTAGGCAGCATACAAATATTAGCAAACCTATGTATCACAGGGGCAATGAGAATAACCCATCCAAGTCTACTAGAAACTCTGGTAACTTCACCTCCAAGGGAAACATTCATACAAGAAGCTCGGGAAAGCTCAGTTAGGCTCCACAAACTGCCAATTTGTATGCAAACTAAACAATGCAGGCACACAATCATAATTAATAAAATCAGACACCCATCCTTAGAAATGGGAACTGATTACCCGGACACACACTTTACACATCCTATAAAGTCTTAACAGACTACAAAGGAGAAGAAGCATTTATGGTAACATTAAATACAACAATATGGTATACAGTTGGCTCCAAAAACACGAAGGAACCGAATCAGGGTTTTTTTTTTGTACAAGCCCAAACATGAGCAATCACACTCATTAGGGAGTACCCCTCAGTCTTTCAAGCTAAAATACACGCCATGATCGCTTGTGTATTAGAAAACCTTAAAAGAATTTACACTGACAAAACAATCCTCTTAAGATCAGATACCCAAGGAATCATTAAAGCACTAGTAAAAGAATCTCATCAAAACTAGTTTGTGAATGGATCCAAATCTCCAAAACCTACGGAAACACAGTAACCTGATATCTTGGGTACCAGGACACAGAGGAATTTTTGGTAACCAAAAAGCTCACACACTGGCCAGATGAGGATTTACAAGAAAGACATTATATATGCCCTGAACCTGTTCGTGGGAAAATAAAAACCACCACAAAAAGAAAAGTGGATAAATTCTTCACGTGCTAGACACAGAAAACTTATGCTAAAACCCTCACCAAACAAACTCATTGCTACAGTTAAAGATCGCTAAAGTCAGAGGAGTGATAGGACTATTACTGGTCACTGGCATCTACACATTGGCTTATTTAACGATGACCCCACTTGTAGGTTATGCAATGAAGAGGAAGGAACAGCCACCCATATCAAATTCGAATGTGAAGCAACTGATCAATGGAAACATAATCTGGGATAAAAAGAAAATGCAGTATAAGACACACAGTCAATGACCTAAATTTCTTGGAAGGATGAATCGATAAGCTGAACTAGGAAACTGCAATAAGAAGGTGGTAGTGTTGGGGGAACATAACTATACCTTGTAGCCTCCATGCATCATCATCCTACTTTTAGCACTCAATATCCCTAAAGGTCATTATACTTCTTTTTTATAAATTTCTTGCTTTTCAAGGATCAACAGTTTTAATTCCCCTCGGCAAGCTATCAGTTGTTATTAATTCCTTGTATATTTTCAATGCAATTCAACACAGACCTTTTAGATTTCATTTTTTTGTTCCTTGGTGTTCCACATGGATGCTTGCTTAGTTTTACAATAACTCAGTTTTGTTTCATGGCTTATACATTGATTTACTAGTATAAATAAACTGCAATCCATTTTCGGTACATTAATTTGTTCTAATCATAAGGAACAATCAAGAATGAGGTAGATTAGGAAAACACATTTTTCATTTTTTTGCCGGTTTCAACCTTTATGCAGGTCATCTTCAGGGCCTGGATAAATTACAAACATTTATAACCAATACCTACCAACACGTGTTACCCTCAGAAATACTGACCACTTTGTTGGAGGAGTACATTCATTACTAGTACTCCAGGAGTAATTCAACTTCAGTTAGTGCATTGTGTTTACAGTGGTTTACATAAGACGGCTTGGCCTGGTTGACTGCTTACTTGACTTCAATTCAGAATTTGATTCCAGTGGATGTCCTTATATGCAGTTGTTAAAAAATTCTTTCTGAATTTAAGTTATATTTATTAACAAATTGATTTTAAATATCATAGTGACATTTTGTAACAACTAAAGAAGAGATGAACCTATCTACAATATGTTAACATTGATTTATTGCGTGGCTTGTACCAAAGCTTCGGCAACTTCTACAGCAATGAGAGCCTCAGCTTTTTCCAGTTCGGAAGATGCCCTTGAAAGATCGGCCTGGGCCTTGTTCAGTTGTTCCTTAGCAGCCGACAAGTCAAAATCTTCCAAAGGGTGGGCCTCCTCGGCTAAAACTTGAACTGATGAATCCTCGTTAATCGTCACCTGAAAATCACTTGTGTAAATTAAGCAGGTCGATCGAGAATAAAAGTTAAACACTCACAGTTCCGCTCGAGACAAAAACTTTCTTTGAGTTCCCATCCTGCTCAAACACGGTGACGACACCTGGTCTGAGCACCGCCAAGGTTGGTACATGGTTGGGGAGGATACCAAAAGAACCGGAGAATGATGGTACATCGACCTGCTTCACATTCGAGTTAGAGTAAAAAACCTAAAAATTCATAATCAAATTATTTATCAAAAATAATACAAGTATTACTACAATAAACAATAAAAAATAATTTGAAATGTGTATGTAAGTAAAGAAATTCCTGTCATACAACCCATACTTCACAATACATTTTTTATACTGTAATCAATTAAAAACCCATGGGCTCTGCTAGGATTTAAACCTGTGTGACAAATATGAGTCAGACACCCTAAGCAATCTGACACCATGGTCCATTATAAATTTCAATTTGAACTTGATATAGGTATGTTATAATTGGAAACAAAATTCTAAATAACTCAAATACAATATAATTAGTATATGATATTAAAGAATATACTTATAAAAATCAGGGATGAGGCCAATTTGAAAGAAAACACTCAACTCCTTCATCGAGCTTTCGAGCAATATTTACATGGCTAACAAATATGAACACCTATTTACAGCGAACGAAATCAAACACCTGTCCATTGTATGTTAGAAATATTAATATATTTATATAGCAAAGATGAACAAAACTCAGGATCTCCGCTGATCTATTAACTTGACATTGCTGACCTAAAATAGCAAAATAGGCAAAAGATGGCCTGTGTTTATAGATACATTATTACCTTTTATTATATCACAAATTTTGCTACATAAGTTGACCCCTCCCCTGAGCAATTTTGCAATGAAGCGGTTGGCCTTGGTCAAAGTTTGAACTTTTGGCGATAACATCAAAAGGGTTGATGTTGTTGAGCGCGATTCTGCTCGGCTGAATCCCTTGGCCCCCAACCACTTGGTTTGTCGAGGATGGGCCAATGTGTTGGCGACCAATCTAAACCCTGATACGTTGGTTGCCAATGAAAAGTCTGAGATTTGCTTAGTGTGTAAGCGCCTTTACAGTCCTGGAGGAAATCGAAATATTTTGTACTTGTCTTACCAGATTTCTTATCTCATTTACCATAATGCTGCGGTTTCGTATAGCCTGATGACTTAATTATTCAATACAAAAGTAAACAAAGCATTATTTACTGTTTATTTTGTCTACAATAGCTCCTAATTAAGTTAACTAATGTGGATAGATAATGGATTTAATTCTAAATTAAATTGAGTGGTGCCAATTTATTTGGCCATCAGTGTATTTTCAAGTCATGGGAATGATAAAATATATATTTAAAAATATTAATTTTACCTTGTTGGCGGCGGCGAACGTGAAGTCCATTTGGTCGGCGTAGCCCCGGGTCGCCTGGAAGTTGGCAGATCTGGAGGCCAGCCTAAAGGCGAATCTCGAGGGTCTTGCGATCGCGGCCATCCTTCAACGGGCGAAAATTACTTACAAGGACTTAAAATACTTATGCAGGGAAGAAATATTTCGCCTTACCTGGTTTTTCCTCCTCTTACAACTGGACTTATCAACCGAAGAAATAAAAACACTTGGCGAGGAGTGAAAAAGAGGAAAGGCCGGTGCTGCACTCTGCTTCACAGCCGAACCACACAGACGTCTTTTCGGCCTTCTATTTTTTTACGGAATGCTACCAGACGTTTAAAACAGAGAAAATACAAATATATAAAATAATAAATATTTTTTTTATTATCTGTGATTTGATGGGTTCAAATTGAAAAATGTATATGAATGTGATAAGAAAAGATAGATACATGAGACATCTATGGCACAATCATAGAGATGACAAATCAAGGAAAAGTCATGATTTCTGTGTAGTAACGCCATTTTTCGGAATTTGAACTCGAGGTCCGGCAGTTTTAACTTCACCGTCCTCGCCTTTGTCTTTTACTCCTTTGAATAATCGTCGAACTTCGAGGAGTCGGCTGAAAGGTGAGTTTTTTAAATTATATTCTCTTTTTATTTTGAATTTTTTGAAATTTGCTTTTTCAAAGAGTATCATCTTACTGGTTAACACTGTAGAACCATCACTTGCAAATGATTAGTTAAAGTTATGATTTCTGTCCAACCACTTTGAGGCTAGTTAGAAAGTTTTAAATGATTTTATAATAAAAAGTATCTGATTAAATTTTACACTTATGTTTGTTTTTTAGTGACCTGTTGTTTCATAAATTCGTTGAAGTCATGAGGAACGGTCAAGAACTTGAACTTCTCGACCACTCCTCACGACTTCAATAAATTATTTTACATTTATCTTAAACATTTCACAAACCAGACAGATTACATTGCTGACAATCAAATAGAGATGTAATTAGTAAGAAATCAGACAAGACAAAAATAACTTTATTTGCTGTACATTGATGGTTAGGCTTCTCGGCCCTTTGGCTAAGATCAAAGTGCTGTACATTGAATACACTATTTTGCGAAATAACAATTAATGATAATGGATACCAAAGTTACGTAACGTAAAATGAACAGCCTGCTATCAATAAAGTTAACTTGTGCTTGAGAGCAGGAGTTGTGAGCTCTCAAACAGTTTCATTCATTTCAAAAATAAACAAAAAAACAGATTTAAACAAATTAGTCTTAGCAGTATACATAACATTTATTTGATTATTGTCATTTCTTACAATTTTTAAATAATTATTTGATTAATAAGTCACATATAAAAATTTCTATTCTTTAATTATATATGTTAAAAAATTAACATTATGGAAAGTTCTGGCATGAAAGACTCATCAATAAACTAAAAGGAATGCTGCCAAAGCAGTATGTAGATATTATCGATTTCTACCTAACTGAATTCTGAATTAAAAACAATGAAACCAGGAGTGCCGCAAGGTAGCATATTAGGTCCACTACTTTACTCGTTATACACCAGTAATTTTCAGAAAATAAGATGGAGTAAAAATTGCCAAGTTTGCAGATGACAATAGTGATATCAACACGACTGACCACTAACCATTCATCCAAAATCTTTAAAAAGGCTTGGAACAAGATAAATGAATGAAAGTGAAGAAAAAAGGACTGAAATAGGTTTAAGTTATAAACAACTATACGGCTCCTACCTTACAATACATGTAGTATTAAACTATGGGGTGGTATCAAACACAGCGATATCAAAATTATACAAAAAGTGCAAAATAAAATTTTACATAACATGGTCAATGTGCCTTGGTACGTAAGGAATAAGGCTTAGGGATCTTATGATCCTGAGGTCACAACAGAAATATAAATATTTGTTGCCAATCACCAATTGCACCTAAACCATCTTGAATGTGGAAGCAACCACTTCCTACACAATCAAGACACTGTCAGAACTTATCAAATACCAATCAGTTAACTTATCGTAAAATTACCAAAAATAAATACTATAATTTTTCTTATAACATAACTTAAAAATATTTACGAAAATATAATTAATATCAGTAATTTCAGAACTTAGTCAGTTACAAAACATTTATACATTCATATATTCTTGACTCAAGAGATTAAGTTTTTCAGTATGGTTTTTCTAAATAAATATTATTTTTTCTAGCCTTATTATAATAAAAAGGTATTGTTAATTTTACAACTCCTGCTATCCAGGACAAGTATTTGAACTGCAATGGAAGAATAACAAATTATTTTTATTTATAATCATGGGCTAATTTTTTATTATTATTTAAAACTCACAGACACACACACACACACACACACACACACACACACACACACACAAAATATTATATTTTGTATTTTTAATTATAGCAAAATAAAAATGTATTAATTAATTTATTAATATTACAAAATTAAATGATAACTAACCAAGAAATGTCAAAACAGTTATGAGTTGACCTAAATTACTGATAATGCCAAGAGGTCAGTGAGGTGACGGACCTGAAGCTCAATATTTACCTATTTTTTAAGGGTGTATAATATATAGCCAGGAAATAAACAAAATCACTACTATTTTAATGACCAACCTCATTTAGATTAGTTATACAATAGGTGTAAAGAGTGATGAAGGAATATTAACTCAACCACCCTAATTGAGAGGGTGGTATGTAAATAGGAAAAAATATATTTTAGAATGAATAAGAGTGCGAATGGGTTTGGATCTAGGAACTGTATGTTGGGTGCTGAATTGTGCTAGGTATTGACAGCACCTGGAGCCCAACCTTGATGGGTGGATGGATAAGATTGAAGTCTATCTATCTTATAAGTCTGTCAACACCCCAGGTATGTGATTCTCGAGGCCTGACAGTAATTTTTAGTAAATTAAAAAACTGGAGGTGCCAGTGGACTGTGAGAGTGATAGGCTCAACACTGTACATGTGTGTATAGATGTACTTACATGTGCAGATAAAGCTTATCTAAATCCACAATACAAAAAACTGACCAACAAAAAGAAAAAAAATCCAATTGAAGGAAACAGCTTAACTTGGGTCAAAATAGTAAATTTGTGTCAAATGTTGGCAAAAAATGAACAATCAAGAACCACTCTGGGATGGAAAAAATACTGGTTTTAAAATTTATTACCAAAAATATCCCAGAAAAAAAAGGTTAAGTACATGATACTTGTATAAAGGCAACATAACCTACAGTGCCAACATAAAAAAATTCTTATTTTATAAGCAATAATTGATTTTATTGCTACATTTTCTCCTTTTTTTAGCAAGACAAGCTCCATGGGCCATATGTGCAATGTAGAATTGAAAAATTATAAGTAACATGTTTTAACACTTGATTTTTTAAATTAAATCATATTTAAACAATAATAAATAATAAATAAAAAACTGTTTTGTATTTTGTTAATCAACTCATGAATTATAAATTTATTCATTTTTAAAAGAAAAAGTTATACTATATGTGACAAATGGAAAATATAAGCCTTGATTTTCTTAAAACGCGATACTACGTTGAGACAGAAGCTTCAGGTTCAGTAAGGGTAATCTCCTCGATGGGCGAAGCGACAGTCAGTCATTTCTTCACAAACAGAGGAATCTGGGTCAAGAAAAGTGAAGGAGTCAATTCGGCCGGCTCTTTGATCAAAGTCGACAGGTGTGATATTAGATCAAGGAGACACTATATTAACCGGTACTTAAGAGGTGAAAAGGAATTTCTCATTTACGAATGCGGACTTTGTGGGGATAATTTTGTAAACACTACTCTTCTGCTTGAACACGTGAAGAGGCACAACACCCCGAAAATTTACAAGTGTAGCATCTGCCAGGCTGTGTTCACAAGTTTTGCAGACTATTCTTCACACAAGGAGCTGCATTCGAAAGAGCGCCCGTTGGTCTGCCACCAATGCAGGAGTACTTTCAAAAGAAAGTTTCTCATGTGCACTCACATGAGGACGATGTCGACAAAATCTCTCAACGAGTGCCATATATGCGGGCTGGTCTTTAATGAAAAAGTCGATTTATTTTCACATATGGGGAGCCACAGCAAAGAAGGCCCTTTCAGGTGCCATATGTGCAAGAGGGAATTCAAAAAACATACCAACCTGGCCAAACATCTGATGGTCACTCATCTGAGTAAGCTCAAAGGTCGCTGTGGAATGTGTGATATGAACTTTCTGAATTTGAACTCATTTGTTAACCATCTGAGTTGGATTCATAATATTAAGGTTCGAATAACTAAGTGTACTAGCTCAGAATTATGAAGTGTCTAATCTTAGTGTTGTAAATAAATGTTATACAATTGAAATCCTTTTACATTTACAACTTTTTGTAGAGTAATTTATTTTATTACAATGATTCTAAGACCTTTACTTAAGATGATTTACAGAAAAATTGAAAACTGAGTTTTTATTTTAATTTTAATAATGTGAATAAAGAAAATTTTATTTTATATTCTAAAATGTTTAGAATAATTCAAAATTTGCTACTGATATGTTATGGAATTTTTATAAAATTAACAAAAAACAAAAAGAATGTAATGTTATCATTTATGATATATTTAAATCTAAAAAAAAGATAATTTGCATTAGTAATATGACATTTTTTAAATTCAGTTTTCAATAGCAAAAACTGTTTGCAGGCCTTCTCTGTAGTTTAGGAGATTCATGTTAAAGCAGGGTACAAACAGTATCATTTAAAATTTTTTTTTACTCAATACATGAAACAGCCAAGTTTTAATAATTACATTTTATTGAATGTGATACTTGTCTATAACTTTCTAGCCTCAATTATTCTTTTTATGTAAAAAGCAGAAGCTTTTGGTGACCTCGGTCGACTACCATCATTAAAATCAACTTTGTATATACCAAATTGAGCCCTTGAAAAAACAAAATACCTTAATAATCATTAAAAATAATATTTTAACAAATATACTTACTGGTAACCATCTGTCCACTCAAAGTTATCCATAAGGCTCCAAACAGTGTAACCTGTAATGTTACACTTATCTTCATTTATAGCTTCTAACATTGCATTTAAGTAGTTCTGAAATTGGATTTACTGATGTATCATTTTTATAGTTGTAGTAAAAACACTTTTATCATTTACAGTCAAATACTGAATTCTTTTCTGATCTTCAAGTCCTGTTTCTCCCATGTCACCGTATCCGTTTTCAGTAATTATGATTTCAGGGTTATTGTATTTCTCTTTGATCCAATTTAGAATTGTCCTGAATCCATGTGGTGCGTTCTGTAATTTAACTTAAAAGCTCATTGAACTTTAACACACTTACAAGCTCTGTACCTTAAACCACCCGAGCTTTGAAATCTCCCACTGTGCATCGTGTGACAGTACAACTTCACTGTCCCGTTTTATAGATGGTGATTCACCTTCCAGTCCAGTTGTTGTATACCTTGATGTGTAGTGTTGGAATGCAAAATAATCAGCAGAACCTGTGCTAGTGCCCTTATAATTAATACTAATCAAATTAGATTTTCTTTAATAAAATTACCTTTTAATAAGTTAATCTCTTTGTCGGTGAAAGCTGGCAATCGTGATTCACTCAAACCTTCAGTCTCACTATGTTTTTGGATGTAATTTTTCATTGTTTTTGGATAGTCTCCTTCTTCACTGAATATGGGGTTTGCGAACCATCCAAGCTGTTGATAGTTTGAACAGTAGTAATTTTTTTCAAAATAAACACATAATAAAAAAAAAGTGTTGGAAAATTATAAGAAAGAGTATTATTTGAGGTAAATAGAGAAATTAACATTAGTGTGTCTCAAATTAAAGAAAGTTTAAATTGCAATCAATAAAAGCTAAAGGCGATATGAAATGAACATTAAAAGTGCTGTAAAATGTTAAAGATTTTTCTTTTTCTTACAAATATTGAACTCAAACAAATTATTTTAAATGTGTGTAAATTATAATAATAATAAATACGATAATTTTTTTCCGTCTATCCTCATTGTTTTGATCTGTCCGTCATGTTTTGGCCTTTCGCCGTCATCATTGATGGGGTTTGTTTAGTTTACAACTGATGATGACGAAAGGCCGAAACACGATTGACAGACAAAACAGAAAGGATAAGCAGAATAAAATTAACGGAAACAGACAACAGGTCCTTTGGGCGTCGGTGGCCGCAAGGTTTAGTCGTTGACACGGCGCTCATCACTGTAAGGTGAAGGTCCCGGGTTCGAATCCAGCGGCCCTGCATTCGAACCCGGCATACATACAAATGGGCTTTTTTTCAAAAACACCGGCACCTTAAAAAAAAAGACTACAGGTCCGAAACCCCGCATCACTCACAAGGAATCTCAACGTTAAACATTGTACCTCAAATTCTGTCGCTCGTTCCGCTGCTTCTTTGTCTTCCTTTGATGATGTTTTAGGAAAATAGCACATTGAACACAACGAAATGGAAACTTTTCCTGAAACGAGGCATTGTAAAAAATAAATCGATCATAACTCAATCGCGTTCACCTTTTTGTGCAGCCCGGAATTCTTTGTTGTAGAGATGGTATGCTTGAGCATGTGCTCTCAAAGCGTTGTGTCCTGCAATATAGTCGCCGATACCGGGTAGGTTCGAAGCTGGAGCGAACAACACATCGCCGTAACCCATCGCTACCATCGATGGCTCATTAATGGTAATCCACCATTTGACCCTATCACCGAAATTCTCGAAAAGTATTTTTGCATACGCTTCGAAATGGTCTGCTATTTCTGGGCAAAGCCAGCCGCCCTTTTCCTCTAACGCCTGAGGCAAGTCCCAATGGTACATCGTTACCTTCAATATCGTTGAATTTGAATTTTTTCGTTTTAATCTAAAAATAGTATAAAATAATAACCATAGGTTGGATGCCGTTTGTTAAAAGCTCGTCAATCAGGCCATTGTAGAATCTGATGCCTTTTGGGTTTGGTTTGCCTTCCCCTGTGGGTAGAATTCGCGGCCAACTTATAGAAAACCTGTAAAAATCAAACTGCAGAATTGTTAATTTCAGTTTTTTCTACCAGTGAACCCCAGGATAAGTAAAGCAATACCCCTATCTCTTTAATTAGCTTAACATCCGTCTTGTACAAGTGGTACATATCACAAGCAACATCGGCATTTGTAGTATCATTGATATATCCTGGATTTGTGTGAACAATTCTGTCCCAGATGCTTTCGCCTTTTCCTGTAACATAATACTTAATGTTTTACTGTTGGTCATTGCTTAATTGAGTATTATTTGTCGATTTTTGATTAAAATTTCTTTATTCTTAAATCCATCATATTTAGTGGTCTATTGACCACTGAAAAATGGCGAAAGGAGGGAAAATTCGAAAGGTTGTGGGTTGAGATGAGGAGTTGGTGTTTGAGTGGATGGAAGTCTATTTAGCCAAAGGTCGTGGGTTCGAATCCCACTCGTGACACTGACTTTTCATTTCAACCAAAACCTTACATAAAAGATTTATTTTTAACAATTAATGAGCATTGTCTCCTTCCCCTTAAAAAAATTAACATTTTGTTTCGGGCAATAAACAAACAATTGCATAAGTAACGTGTGGTTTATCATCTGGATCAACACGTTTTGAAAAACTTACATAAAATTTATTAAGGAAACATAATTAGAGTACATTATAATTAGTGTGAAATCGCGAACAAACGGGTATTGCGTATGTTTCATTCGTAACGAACCGTTAATTAATATTTAAAACAAAAAATAACTGTGTTTGCCAAGACGAAAGTAAAAGGCTGAAAATTTGTCCTATAAGACGATGAATAAAACAAGGTTTAACCAAAAATGGCAATGATAAAATGTTACAAAATGATGGCGTAGATAATGAATTGCCGCTCTGCTTCGTACATAAATTGAATCCTTGGCAATGGCTCATTACTATATTGCAATGACAATTTGCATCGTCGAGGGATTTCCACTGAGACGGGATATTTTCGAAATCTTGAACTATCCAATTGGCTTTTAACAAAAGGCGCGGCCTGCCACTTGATTAGCACAGTTAAAACGTCGCTACTCGGAAAGAAACGAATTTTGTTAAGTCCGGGGAAAACATACCGTCTTCGCACCAAGCGCCTTCGACTTGGTAGGAAGATGAAGCTACACCGAAAATGAACCCTTCGGGAAAACGCCTTTCATCTGTAAAGTCGCTCATGTCCACGCCTTACTGCTGATTCAAACCGCCCCACTCTCCGTCCCAGACCAAACATACATGACCATAATGTTTTTATGTAATCGACTGGAGTGGGGTTGTAATTGACATTATCTACGAGGGACCTACTTTTCGAGCTGTCCACTATTAAATAATTCAGGAAGCAGCACGGTTTTCTTTCTCGCTAGTTGTTCTTGTAACCCTATTGGTAAAGTTTATGAAATTGGATTGGTGTTTTAAAACAAAAACGCAAAACTGGGCCGGCAAATGATAAAAAACTGACACTAGCTCAGTAATGACTGGAGGCTTCCATGCACGTTCCAATTTTGTTATTGTCTCTGGTGCTTGGCTCGACTTCGGAAGAACTGGAATTATGTACATTACCTTATCTGTTTAAATTAAAATAGAATTCTTTCATTCTAAAACCACTGAAACAATTCACGGATTTTTTTAAACTTTCTAAATTTTATAAATTGTTTAAAACCGTAAAATAAAATCGTTTATATTCTTTTTTTCTTCGCTATTGTCCTTCTTTTTTTATAGATGAAATTTTTTGTAGGCTTAATTTTGAAGGTGTTAAAAAAAATAATAAAATTTACAATTTCGGCGATCCTGTCCATTTTCAAGAAACATACATTGTTAACATATACAGAGTGCCTTTTTTTACATGCACCTGCAGGTTTTTCCTATTTTTTGAACAGATACAACAAGTGACCAATGGTAACTCCTTATACATTTTTGCGCAGATTCCAAAACCGAAGTCAATTTTTTTTCGTCATCGACGCCACTGTTTTTATTTTAAATGGGAACCCCAATTTTTTAAAAAAAATTCTGAAACAAGATTTTTTTTCTGAGAGGAATGAAAGTAACAACTTTCGAATATCCACAAAATTGACAGCTCTAGCATTTTCTGAAAATATTAAAAAATTAAGAAAACTTCATAAACATTGTGTATTAAACGCAATTTTACATTTTCTTTTTTCCTCATGAGGGGGGTAAGTAAACATAATATCAATAAAAAAACTTTAAACACAACCATTTCTCATAATAAAATTGCAAAAAAAAAACAACAACATAAAATAGAAACTTACGTTTAATAAACATTGTTTATGAAATTTCTTTAATTTTTAATGTTTTCAAAAAATCCTAGAGCTGTCAATTTTGGAGGTGTTCGAAAGTTGTGGTACTTATTCTTCTAAGATTTTTTTTTCAAATTTGCTGTTTTGCGGTTCCATTTGAAATAAAAAATGACGTTGACTTGAGTGTTATACTTTAGAATAGATTTGATACTTTGGCTAGTTTTAAACCTACAAAAAAATTTAACTTTTTCTTAACGCTCCAGAAAATCAGTTTCCATTCGGGATTTGACGAAAATTCCGGAGATCTGACACTGAATGCCGAGCCTTGTCCGATGTTATAAGGATTTCCATATTTGTATCTTGTTTTTCTCGCTCATCAATAAAAACTAATTTAAAAAATTAGCACATGAAAAATAAAGAAGTCTTGGGAAAAAGTGTGCTGAAAGTGTTCTGTATTAATTTGTACTTTTGCTATTTTATTATTAATAATATGCTTATTTAGTACATATTTCATTTAAAAACTTGATTTCCCATGTCGAACAATTCTCATATATAAAACGAAAGGAACTCTGAAAATGGCTACGGTTATCAGGTAAAATACACAGAGAACGTTTCAGAAATAAAAACACGAAAAAAAAAAAAACGGCTCCTCCACCAAAAGAAAAATAAAGAAAGGTTGAGGAGGGTAGATGGGCTTTATTAATAATTAGGAAAATGATAGTTATACCCGGCGCCCCTACCGAATTTATAAGAAAAATGATTGGTGAGGAGTAAGATATGGGGATTATGAAAAATAAAGGGAACTAGAATAATGCTTATTTATAGAGGGATTAGCAGATTTATATAAAACATAGGGGGTGGGGTTGTTCAACAGACTCCTAATCTAAATGAGAATTTGCTTACTTGGTTACTCCTGCTGGAGGGCCCAGAGATTTAGTTTCTCTGTCCGTGCTCGACTTCCACTAGCTGGTAGGAAGAGGTGTTAGGCTGATGTCACAGTTTTTTAACTGTAACGTTCTGGCATTTGTGAAGACGTTTTTGCCATATTAATACCGATAGTTTTCATACTCTTCCTGGGTGCTTTGCTTCCTTTAGGGCCGGACTACAAATCTCCCTGTAGTCGAATTGCCCGGTGATAGGCCATTCGCATTTCAGAATGTCTTCTCGAAAGAGAGAAATAGGCTTTACAAAAGCAAGTATTATAATGTGGTTTGTTTTTATCACAAATCCTACCACTCAAAATAACAAGCCAATTTCATCACAATCAAACATCGCCAGCCGAAAAGTCGAGAGTTTTATAATCAACTCAGTACCAACTAAATACATTAGAATTTCGTGAAAAGTAAAGGCCCTCGTGTTTCAATACAAACTGTGAACAAATAAAATTAGCTTGGCTATGATATCCTAGCAAGTTCTTTCTATTCTCATTATCTATCTATCTCATGATCTTCATGGTACCAGTTTTTCCGTATCTTGGACAGCTTTATTAGAAGAAATACTTTTGTAATCACCTTTTCGGATTTTGTTACACTTCGTGGCTCATATTTTTACAGACCTGTTATAAAAAACTTATCATCGTTGTCAAAAATGGTGAATAATAAAATATATTGCATTTGTTAGTCATTTCTTTAAATTACTTCATGTTAACAAACAACCTCTTTATGAGTTACAACCCTATATATAAAATTTTTGTTGGGATTTGTAATATGGAGTAATGAAACAGTGTTTCAGGTAGAAATTTATTGCAATGTTTTTTTTAAAATAAATACACAAATGCCCGTTATGGGTTTGTTGATAGTATTAAAAAAAGGTACACAAAAAGCCCGGAGGCACTCCGAGCAGAATAAATAAATTGCTTTGCCTTGATATGAAGCCGAGTCATTGAGTGGGGCGCAACAAGGTTTCTTTGGCGTTCCGATGCGTCGTTGCGCCCTACTCGTCAAAGTTGCGGCAATTTCCAGTCGGTATCTATTTCCTGTAGTGGTAAGCGTGCTCAAGTCCGCCGTGGTAGGATGGTTGGAGGGTGACGTGGACGGGGGCGGCTACGTGGTGGACGGGGGTGGCAACGTGGTGGACGGGGGCGGCAACGTGGTGGACGGGGGCGGCAACGTGGTGGACGGGTGCTGCGACGTGGTGGACTGGGGCAGGGTGGTGGGAAGGTCCGATTTTCTTGACTACGGCGTTGAATCCGTTGTGGTCATCAGCGGTGTACTCTACAACCCTGACGGAACCGTCGGGTTCGACGAGACTGTAAGAGCCCTTGACGACGTCGCCGTCTCTCTCTTCATACTGAGATTTGATGTCTCCTGTGTGAGGGTCGTGGACTCCATAGTTAAAGGCGTATTTCGGGTAGGACTAAAAAAAAAATTAACAAAAAAATGAACATACGGCATAGCATGCGATGATATTTGGAAGGTAGGTAAGATATGCTACTCGTACGTATCCTGAATAAAAAGTTTAACACAAACAACAAACACCAGGCTGAGTTCGTGGGCTGTTTTGGTGGCTTAATCCATCATTCTCACTGTTTTCGGGTTGAGTGATTATTCGGATACGTGCAGAACGCCGTATCGGATAGGGCACCCTTGGAAGGGCCAAGACCTAGATTTGAAAGTAGAAAGTACACTCAAGGCAAGATTTTTCGAGTCCACCCCATGATCGCGTAGCCCATGATAGCCCTTACAACCGTTGGACGTAAGTCACCATTCGCAACCAACGCATTAGAATCTGATTCCATTCAGTTAAGAGTTGTTAAGTCCAGCATTATTCTTATGTTAATCTACGTTTTTAGTTGGTCCTATTTAATCAAGGTAATGATTTAAATTGATTTATAATTTTTATGTAAAGTGTGGTTGAGATGAAAAATTAGTGTCACGAGCGGCTCCTATACCCCGTTGCTTTAACCAGCTGAGCTGAAGTAACTTCGGTCCCCCGAGCCACCAACTCAACCATCTCACCCAGTTAATCCTTTGTTAACTAGGGCCAACTAAAACCGTATGGATTAATATAATAATTACTGAAGTACCTGCACTTCCCTAACCCGTGGCGACTTATGTGCCGACAATTGAATCCTATAACACGAAATTTAAATATCTGACAAAGAGAGGGGAAGTTGAAAAAGTTGTAGGTTGAGATGATGGGTTGTCCCGGGGGAATACAGTCGCGATAGCTTGTGAAACTAATTTTTCATCTCAACTACAACTATAAAAATTATAAATCAGTTATTCTTTTGTATTTTGCATGAAGTTTGCACTAGGACTTAAAATGGAAGGACGGCTTTCTAAAAACACTCGGCCTTGCCCGCAAGAAATAAGGTGAAATTTTTACAATTTTCAAAATGATTGAGTAACGGGGAACGAGTTCGGGGTCAATACTAAAAGCAGGAGGAGAAAGGTGTCCGGTAACCGATTCCTATACATCTTTAAAGTGATGGGAAAATGGAGCTTGTTATCCAATGGTCAGACGAACGGTAGCGAGGTCGAAGACCGTGAATCCCGCTTTTACTTTCTTTCGAAAAGCAAGTTCAATCCGGTTTTTTACTTGCAGAAGTCATTAAAGAGAATGTCCTTAAGATTTGTCGTGTTCAGTTGGGCAAACGCATATGTTCTTGAGAAATTCTTCGGTGGCTCTGGTCGGACATTTTATGTTTCGTGATATTCATTCGAGTGGTATGTGAATGGGATATGCTAGCATTTGGGTCGTTAACGATCTTTAGATCTTGATTTATTAAAAGTCAATTCAGATCCGTGTGAATGTTTGCGTATCGATCTTCCATGTGTTGCCCAACAGCTTTTCATTTGAGTTTTTACGGTTGACGTTCCCACGTATTTGCACCCCAGTGCATTTTTATAAACAATATTGGGAACGGGTTAGTCACAATTGGCAAGAACAATCAAATTGGATCGGCGCGGAAATAAAGAAATAGTGCAAAATCCGTTGTTCTGCAATTTCCTGAGATTTTCTCAAAGCCGAATTCTCCCTGCTCCCACGTCGGCGATTGTACAAGCCTCTCCCGGCCTTGCCACTCCCGTTAGAATAACAAATTATTTTCCTTTATTAAACCGTTTTTTCCCAGCGAAGGCCGTAGCGACGCGCTAACGTGTGACGGCGTACTTTTTTATGACGGCTGCAATTGAGATTGTCGTCCCTCAAGGCGATCCGGATTCGATCGGACGTTTTACGTTCACGGTTACCATAATATTAAATATCAGGTCTAGGCTGAAATCGTCCATTTTTACTAAAAATGGTCACTGTTTTACTAACTTTATCAACCGCCACTGATAAACTGACAGTGAAGAGCCCAAGAACTCAACCTCCTCTAGACAAAATTAATTCTTCACCCATTTACAAAATTCGATTTGATTTCATTATCAATGAGCCTAACTATCCTCAACGCGAACTAAACTTTCTTGTTTTTGTAAAATCCAGCGGTCAACGAGAACGCCAACCAATCTTCCAGCTGTGAAGAAACATTCGTCATTGAACATCAAAGATGACTTATTGTTTATCCATTAAATTACTAGGCTATAATATCAAACAGAATCCTGCTAATTCTTGCATTAAAGCTCTGTAGTTCCATCCGGTTGGATGACCGTGGAAGGCCACTTTGGGGGTGGACAAGAGCATCGTACTTACATAATGTTCGTGGTCGTGGTGAGGGGCGTAGCTGGCGTACTCGACTCCCTCGTAAGGCAAGACGGGGGCGGCGACGGCGACGGGGGCGTGGGCGACGTGCACAGCGGGGGCGGGAGCGACGTGTACTGCGGGGGCGTGGGCGACGTAAGGGACGGCGTCGTACTGGAAGCCCGGACCGTGGCCGACGGGGGCGGAGAAGTAGTTTCCTTCATACCCGCCGTAGAACTGCGGCTCGACGAGGCCGGCCTGGGTCGCCGTCAGGCAAACCACTGCCAAAGTTACGATCTGAAAAAAAAAATTCTTAAGGGATGAAGCAAAATCTATTTTAAAAAAAATAAATATTATAATGAAAAAGAAAAGGGTTAAAAAACTCAAGTTTCTTCTTTAAAAAAATAATAACGATGTGAGATGTGGTCTGCGGGGTGATGTCCCTGGAGTTTGGTCGTTTTCGATCATTTTGGTCAGGCCCAAGCTCTGGCAAAAGCCGAAACTTGTTTGAAAGACCAAACCAGCGAGGACAGGCAGACCTAAATGATCGGAAACGACCAAACTATGACTGACCATGTTTTAAATTCCGAGAAAAAAATAAATGTGCCGCTATCATTTATGTTACTTCTGTGATCCCAGATAGCATAATTATATGCTTATAACTTCTTATTTGGCAGCGGTTTCAATTCTCTCCCTCCGTAAACGACGTTTTTTTGTAGGATATGGGCATGGGTTTCGCAACTGTGGGCGTACGCGTTTCTGCAGCCGGCCAGCGTGTCCACGAGTGTACACACAGCTATTTCGCTCTTACGCCGAAGGAAGGAAAAACGTACGTGATGGTTCGGTCAATTTAATCCAGTTAACGAGCCATTTTTCTTACTCTCGGCCGCTTCCATAATTCTTTAACATGAAAGAATTACGCAATCGCCATGAGTGAACTACATAGCATAATTTGAACGCCCCACATTCTTTTCCAAAAAATTTGCCAAAACCTTACCAGATATTGGCTGATAATGATAACTGTGTTCAATTAACAATACGAGAGTTTGATTTTTACATTCGTTATTATCTTCGGAATGCTATGTCATGCTTGGCTTGCCCACTATTAACTAACTTCGTATAATAAACTCCTTTTAATTATGGAGCTTAAAGCAACCCTGACTCGATTATTCCTACCGTAAACAATTGCACAACCCCGTTTCAAAATGTAACGACTTGGCGGAACAGCATAGCCAATGTCTCGGTAGTTATTGTTTGATTTCATGAGTACATGAAGAAAAAATGAGTATTAGTTGTAAAGTTCACTTTAAATTATTTTTTGAATTTTAATACACGGCGTAACTTTTAATATTTCAGTCGTTCCAGACAATTTTTAAATAAACGCGGGTTTTATGAAGTTACACTATTTTTAAGAAAGAAAAAAAAGACGCCATAAATTTAAAAGTTTTTGGTGTTCTGTGCTTTTGAAGTGAAAATTTAAAGTTTGACGTGAAGTGATAGCCAACTTCAGGTTGAATTCGGCACGCTACTCAATATTCGACCCTTGATAAAATAACTCAGCATGTTACGATGATAGTTCAATATAAGAACAGAAATGTTATATTAGGTCTCCAAATATGAGTATTGTGTTCTGCATATCTTGGCAGATGCGTTTTTACTTCTACTTCAGTTGTTTGTCCAAGGCAGCGAGGATAATCACGCCGAATTTTATGAAACGATCAAACTACACGTTTATCACCCCGCAGACCAGAAGAAGTCTGCGACCAAAGAAGATGGAATTGACACAAGACTGGATTATTTACGTTATTCTACCTCTAGTAAAAAAATTATAAATGCATCGACTATATTATAAACTCTTCTTAAAAAAAGAAAAGAAGATATCAATTATGAGAGATATTACACTTATACAATTTTAAAAAAGTGCTTAAAATTCCAGCAGCAAGTGGATTTCCTGTAAAATCGAATGTCGAAAAGTTAAACGTCGTGAACCCAATGGAATTTGAGCAATGAAAGAGAAGATTAATCGCGCACTTTTTTTGCTTCTTGAGCAGAACACTGACAATTGACACCTTGGGCTTCACCGGTTTGGCCCAGAGTGGGAAATAAACGAAAATGGAAAACACTTGAACACGGTTCACAGAAATCCGTCGCCGCTGGGCTTGTTAACCGTTGAAGTACCTTGATAAATGCCATTTCTCCTGTTGTACCGAAGTTCTGGAGTAGACTGGTGCCTGGAAAGGGTTGCTGGCGGCTTTTATAGTTGTCAGGGGAGGAACGCAAGGCCGCCCCGCGGAGGGGGGAGGCGGAGCCAACGTCGGCAAAAGCTCCGGTTTCCGCCTACATTGCACCACGATGCTAAGAAATGATGGCATTTCAGGCTGAATTTTCCGAAAGATCGATTTAATAAAAAATGAACGATGACGTGACGATTTTCGAACTTCCATATTTAAAATGGTAAAGTTCGAATATGCCGGAAATCCAAGTCACAAACTTCATAGGTTTTTTGTTTACTTTTTTGAGAAGAAATTTGTCTCGTTATTTACATATTTAATCATTACCCAACTAGCTGAATCAACCCTCTTAGATTGTGCATATGCTTAAATATATATATGTATGTACATCAGCAGACGAACTTGTAGTGTACGTGTTAATTTGTAACAACTGATGAACATGTATTTATGTGAAAATAAAAACACATTATACATTCGCGTGCACAATAAGAAATTTTGGGGGGCGTCAGTGGCCTCAACGGTTTGAGCGTTGGCACAGCGTAAGGTAAAGGTCCCTGGTTCGAATCCAGTGGCCCTGCATTCGAACGCGACATACTTACAAATGGGCTTTTTTTAAAGAACACCGGCACCCTGACCTCTGCTGTTGAGAACCCTCGTAAAAAAGAAAAAAAAAACGAACACTTGGAAACACTGCACTACATCACAATTTTAGATGATACATCTAGTTAAGCAGAGGAAGAAGAACAATAGAAAAAGTCTACTCTTGTATTTTATGTCCCTACCGTCGTTAAGTAATGTTTTTTTATAACTTTAAAATTTCTTCTAATAGAATCGACAACTATTTTTATTTTTTTAAAATGGTATTTTAAAGAATTGTTCAAATATAAGTAAGTGAGAGAATGTGGGAGAAAGTGAATGAGTGTGTGAGAGTGAGTGAGAGCGAGTGAGAGAATGACCAATTTCAATTAAAATATAAACATTTATAAAGTCTCAATCGACTAAAAACGGGTTTTATTTACGTTATGTTTGTCAAACATTAATATCTTTAAATTTCTATTTATCCTAGCCGGATCGTTTAAAAATAATCTGTAAAATTATTTATTTCTTAAATTGCTCGGTACTATGAGCAATTAATTTACTATCAATTAAAATGATAAGTAAATAAATTAGCTTTGGTTGAAGAAGATTCTACTAGAAAAAAAAATGTTCAGCAATAGTTTGGATAACTTGAGATCAGTTCTTCGTTTTTTTATTTGTTAATTATAATTTTATTTGTTATTTCCAACTACAAATGTGATATTAAGTAAACATTTTCTAATACTGATTATATCCCGTACTATGAGCATTTAATTACTATCAACTGAAATGATAACTAAACAAATTATTTTTGGTTGAAAAAAATATTCAGCAATAGTTTGGATAACTTGAGAACGGTTCTTCCTTTTTTTTAAATTTGTTAATTACAATTTTATTATTTCCAACTACAAAGGTGGTATTAAGTAAAAATTGTCTAAAATACAGATGATAACATTTGAGTTAGGGCCGCAACGGTTTGGCGTTGACACGGCGCTCATCGCAGTAAGGTAAAGGTCCCGGGTTCGAATCCAGCGGCCCTGCATTCGAACCCGACATACTTATAAATGTTTTTTGTTTTTTTCAAAAACACCGGCACCCCGAGGGTTGATATAACCTCTGTTGTTCCAAACCCTCGAAAAAAAATTGAGTCAATTGAAGGAGAAGTTGCTCAGTGACAAATCTCCTTCACACTAGGGTTCAAACTAAAAACCGTTCGCTCCAAAGGGTCAAAATCTCTTTCATAATGTACATTATAAGTACCTTGCCATTTTAAAGCCCCTATTCGTATCCAGCTATCCTGGAGAGTTAGTTCAAAATTCTTGGCCTCGCGTTGGTTTTCTGCATTTGATCTGTGTTGTCTTTGAATTTGCACTCAGTTATGGTAATGGCAATGCCTATGCCTAAGAAGTTTAAGCTCCATTCAACAGTGAAGGCTTGATATCTTCCAATATGTTTATTTTTAATGTTTTTGTTGTCGGTTATGACGAGCGTACATTAAAGTAATTTTCTATGAGAAATAGATCATCTCTGAAGACGGTGATGGCGAAATCTGACGGTCAAATTAAAACATCGAGGATAAATCAGGATTATCGGACTTGACACCACAAAAACCTTTAGACTGCTTGTCTTCCTTTTATCATCTTAATGCAAATCCCATCGCCAAAACAGTAACCGCGATGTTTGCGTCCATAGTACTAAGAGAAAAATTATTTTTAATTATAATAAAAAAATATAAATTATAACACTGGTTTTACACCTGGTAGATTTATAAAATGTGTCCTTCATAACAGCTTTTCTCGCGCGATTGGAGCTTAAATTCTAGCCCCCGCGGAAAAGTCGAACGCAGCAATTATCGTCGTCCAGATCAGATCAATCGGATGGGTGTCATTTTCTACGTTCTCATGTCTAATCAGAAATCGTTCATCCGACAAAAACCCTCTGAGCATGGATGTTTTGAGACATATGTTCTACTAACCTGATCTTGCACAGCCAAATTTTCACCTATCCCGGGTAATAGTTTGTTTATAGAAAACAGTTCAATCAGTTCAATGAAGATGGAGAAATGCTAAACACGTCTGCCAGACAACAACAGGAAGATCAGAATGATCGAAATCGTCCTAGTTTATAATATATTACCCATACATGAGTTACATGAGTGAAATAGGTAATGCATTTTTGTGAGCTCTGTTTCAGGCTTGTTGTCCATTTAATAGTTGAGGAACAAAAATGTTATCAATTTGTTATGATATTATGTTAGGGGACTGAGTGTTAAAGGTAACATTTATGACCAATGAGTCAATCGTGTACTGGCATCTGAACCCATCAACCTATCAAACAAGTGGACTCTGCACATACTTATCCAGGCTCTGTGCTTACAGAAACTCCTAAGGGGAAAATTGTCAAATATTATCCCAAGAAGAATTGGAATTATAAATGACACGGGAAAACAAGGTCGGAGGCGTATAACATTGTTAGCCATCTCAACACAGGGTCAGCCTCAACCGACCGTGGTTTTGACAACGATGAAATTTGATTTTCCCAGTCCATTTTCTGAAGTTCAGAATTAGTCGTAAACCAGGGAAACTGAAATTTTCGGTTCAAATGTATTCGTCAAAATCTTTCCTCTGAGTTATGACTATTTGTTTTGTATATTTTCTTCAATTCCATCTATAAGTCCCTTCTTCATTGCTCTTACCAACCAAGAGTATATAGCAATCAAATCTTAATTATCTCACCATCTTTCCTTTTTCGGTTCCAAACGTCAAATTCTCCCAAGATGATCGAATACAAGTTTTTCTTTGCTCTGTAACAATTTTTCCAAATCCTCACAGTACATTTGGTGCACCGTGACCATCTATTAAAATAGGTTCGGAATGCATCGTTTCCTACAACATGCTCTACAAAAAAGCAACGACAATCCCCATCACCTGAGAAGAGTGAAACTTAAACACCACATGATCTATTCAGATTGGGCTTAAACCAGATAATTAAACTACTAACTATTAGTGTGAAATATCTATCTTATTATGATTTTCAACTCTGATCTAATTATAATAAAATCAGTGCTCGAATTTTGGTACATGTGGGATATAATTTGTTGTAGGAACGTGTACTTAGTTAATTTTTCGGTTTCTAGAGAAGCTGCCACAAGGCTTCTTCACTCCGAACTGAGTATTCCTATTCTGCACATCTATCTTTATACTATTACATGTGCCATCTTAAGAGGCTTGTCAGGAGTCCAACCAGAATCCTCGTTCTGTTGTGATTACCTTTCAGTTATTACGTTTGTAAGCTTTGCGGATGGCCCTTCTATGAGACTCTTCGCGTGCCTCATTCCTGGGCTATCAAGTTTTGGACTCATTTTTGGATGCGTCTTTTTTATGGTAACGTGCACAATAGGGATCGGGGCATAGAGAATTCATATTGGCCAACATGTCCACTCTCTCATTGCCTCTACGTCCCGAATGTCCGAGGACCCACGCAAGGGTTAGGTGGTGTCACTGACTTCTCCTAGCGCCGTGATGGTTTGCCGTTACCACACATGAGGCTAAGGCCTTAAATGCCGCTTGACTGTCAAGAAAAATTGCTGCTGTTTTTAATTTTGAATTGTAATCAAGTTGCCCTCTCTGGATTTGAATTATTTGATAGTTGTTATGCATTTATTATAAACATATCTGGTTTTCGGTTCATTGGTTACAGTAGAATGCATACAATTTTGAATTCAGAAGTTTTTCTTTTCTTAAAAAAAAAAAAAAAAAAAAAAAAAAAAAAAAAAAAAAAAAAAAAAAAAAAAAAAAAAAAAAAAAAAAAAAAAAAACAGAATCGGAATTACTACTCGGGCTATTTCTCTTGATGACACGTTCTGGTAGATGGTTGACGGTTCTTTGTAATTATGTTGTAAGTTGGTATAGTTTTTTTTAATCCACAAGTAATTTTCAGACAGCTTTTTAAGCACTGTTGTCTACAAATGTTGTTAAATTAATATTCGGCATAGATTTGAATTCTTTTACAAGTCGAGTGATTTCCTTTGTTTAAACATCTTTCAAGTATTGTGCTCCGCGAGATAATTTGGATTAATTATTCTATTTATTGATATATACTTTGTTTAACTTCGACCTTTCATAATCCTACATAACGACATTTTTTCAAACTTACAGTTTAAATTGAAAAAAAAAAAAATTGGTTTTGAAAGAGAATTAACTAATAGTTTGTCGCTTTTAAATAAAATATTATGTATTAGACTGCTTTCTTCTAAGTAACATTTCGTTGTCGTTTTTATAATTTTGAATTGTACAGTTCACTGCTAATTTTTGTATCTAATGCTTATTTGATGGATGATGCTTTACGATTTCGTTTTTTAGGATGATATCTAATTCGGTTTTTATTTTTATTTTATTAGGTCGCTTAGTTAACTAGATCTTTCTAAAAATAAAAATAAAACGTTGACCTCCAGATGTTT